GCCGCCCTACTCCTACATTGCCCTCATCACCATGGCCATCAAGAAGGCGACCGGCGTCACCAAAGCCTTCCACAAGGTTAAGATGATGGAGGCTCGCCAGAAAGGAGCGAATGTCTCCATCGAGAAGGTGCTCATTCCCGCACCAAAAGATGCCAAAGAGAAAGACGTGAACAGCTACAAGGTCACCAAAAACAACAACAACAGCAGAAACAACAACAACAACAACAATAACAAGAAGGTCAAAGTAGGCTGAAGTGGACTTCGAAGCGGCAACAATAAAATCAACAGCGACAACGGCAAGGACACCAAGAAGAGCCGTAAACGAAAAGCCAATCCAAGTTCCTGAACCAGAAGGTGTTTTTATTTAGAGGATAAAAGTATCAGTGAACAAATGTACAGTGGTGTGCGATTATGACTGACTGACGCTTTGGTGGTGGTGGTGGTGATCGTGGTGATGGTGGTTACGGTGTTGATGCTGGTGATGGTGCTTTAGGTTATTTTCTCAATACTTGCCTCTCAAGATCTACTACTTCTTAGATTCATCTCTTTTATCTCGATATGTTTTGCTTGTACGACACTGGTAACTAGTGTCCATTTAAAGTGGACTGTGCTCCATAAAGTTCAGTGGTTTACCAGAGAAAATATTTGGCATAACTATTTGGCAGGTTTTAAATAAACTTTGGTCATTATTAAAAAACTATAAAGTTGAAACAAAAAAAACATGTACTCAATAAAACAATCACTTTTTTAAATATAACAAGGTGGGCCTAAAAATCTACTTGAACTAATTCTTGCATTTCATTTACTGGAGGAACTCGTGCAATACACTATTTTTTTGTTTATTGAACTGTAAAACGTTCCCACAGGGCCAGTTTTTCTCAGAACAGAAATGGCGTTGGGCCGGTATACATGTTAAAAGAAAATCTCAAGGCATCGGTGCCTCAAAAATGAAACAAATATGCTCGGTGCCCCAGATGGCAGAGTACTCAGTCCTCCTTTTCTTTGAAATGAAGACAGGAAACAGTGCTCATTAGGAGCTACACTGCCATGTCACTACTTATTCTGCTGCTGCTGCTGCCATTTCCCCTAACTGAGAACACACACACACACAGCAAGGTGAGGGTGAGACTAGCCAGTGCATCGAGGAAAGTAAATCAAAGTGCCTGAACAGTGTCGGTCTACGGTATACTGCAGAGAAAGTGTGTGCATGTGCTGGCACTGCCACTCAAATGGCCCTGAACCGACTTTGCCTGTCGCAATGAGGCTAACTCCCTCCCAGCCACCACTGACTAACCGAATTGAGCTCTAGTTTGACTTTCTTTATTTTTTGCCGTCAAATGTGCTCACCTCTCTCTTTCTCCTTTTCTGCTTGTCGCCTCTCAACTTCTTGTTGCCATGTGAACTGTTGCTCTGTCAAAAAATGGAGTGCTAGTCGGTGGTAGAGTCTGAGGGTCTCCCTCCTTACCTAGCGAGCTTTACTGACACGCTCACAAGACTTTCATTTTAGTTGAGAGCGCCCACCGCACTGCACATTACACTCTTTCACAGTGAACCGTTGAAACAAAACTACAAAGCTAGTTTTAGACAATTTCTCTACTATCAATTCCCTTATCTTCATTTTTTCTTATCTTCATTTGGAAGGCTATTTAGTCTTTCTGGTCCAGACTAGTTTGGTAGTGGTAAGTGCGACATATTAAAAAAATGCAGTTTTTTTTCCTAATTGCTCTTATTATTACTAATTGACTTTTAGCTCATCTACACATCCAACAACACCTGCCGTCAACCATGAACCGTCCACAAGCGTTTAAAAAGAAGATTCTTGAAGTTTATCAAGCTGAAATGGGGCAGCCACTTGATCACTCCGAGAGCAAAGACAACAACAATGCTCTGTTCAATGAAAAGCAAAATAATGAGCCACTTGAAAGAGTGACTGGTGAAAACAAACTTTTCCGCCCCTGGCTTGATACATCTCCAGTACATCACCAGCAGAAACAACTTTTTGTCTCAGGTACAATTTATTTGCACTATTTCCAATAGTCTTTAACAGTTCTTAATGCATTTTCAGATCATCATCATCAACGGCAGCAACAGCAACCGTTGCTACGGCCTTATGAAATCGGTCAGCCTCTTCTTTCAGGTACAATTTATTTGCACTATTTCCAATAGTCTTTAACAGTTCTTAATGCATTTTCAGATCATCATCATCAACGGCAGCAACAGCAACCGTTGCTACGGCCTTATGAAATCGGTCAGCCTCTTCTTTCAGGTACAATTTATTTACAATGTTTCGAGCAGTTCATAACAGATCCTCTGTTTACTATTTTAGCAAACCAAGCTGTTCAGCAGTACTACCAGTTGCCAATTGCCGCAAGCAATGCTGCCAGCGTTTTTGCCTCAGTTCCGAATAACACTGCCGACTGGAATTACAAACAGTTGCGACAGCAGCAGCCTTTTGAAATAGGCCATTTTCTCATGCCAGGTACAATGTTATTAGCAGTATCCCCCAACAGTCTTTAACAGTTCTTAATGCTTTTTCAGATCAACATCATCCTCAACAACATCAGCAGCTTTTTGAAAACTGCCAGCCTCTCGTCTCAGGTACAACTTCCTTGCAATGTCCCTTCCAGTCCTTAACACATGTTCCTCTGTTTACTACTTTAGCAAATCCAATTGCTCAGCAGTACTACCAGTTGCCAATCGCCGCAAGCAATGCTGCCAGCGCTTTTGTTTCAGTTCCGAATAACACTGCCGACTGGAATTACAAACACTTACAGAACCAGCAGCCTTTTGAAATAGGCCATTTTCTCATGCCAGGTACAACATGTTATTAGCAGTATCTCCCAACAGTTTTTAACCGTTTTCTTAATGCATTTTCAGAACATCATCATCAACAGCATCAGCAGCAACCTTCTAATATAAATCAGCTTCTCATTTCAGGTACATTATATTTGCAGTGTCCCCAACAGTTCCTAACCGCTTCTTTGTTCATCACTTTAGCAAATAAAGCTGCTCAGCAGTTGTGCCACCAGTTGCCAACTTCCGAAAAGAAAGAGGACGCTGGTGCCAGCGCTTTTGCCTACTCAGCTCCGAATAAGACTGCCGACGGCCGTGGTGATGCTCGCAGGCAACATCGGAGGTCGAAACCGAAACACCCCTGTGAGAAGTGCCCCAAAGCATACTCCACTGTTCCCCTCCTGAAACAGCATGTTCTCTTCACGCACACCGGTGACGGGCGGAATGAGTGTAAAGTGTGCCAGCGGAAGCTCGCAAGCCCCTACTCTCTTCAGAAACACCTTCTGATGCACGCCAAAAAGCTGCCGTTTGAGTGTCACCTCTGTCCTGGGAAGTGTGCCACTCTGGCCAATCTGGCCGTTCACATTTGCTCTCACACCAAGGTTAAGCCGTTCCCGTGCACTGCCTGCCCGGCAGCATTTACCCGAAAAGTCG